GACAGCCGAGACGCGTCTGGGCTGTCTGCTGCCCGCGTGTTCCGCCGCTTTGCTTCCTCTCCCTGGTCTGCTGGAGACCAGAGAGAGGGAGGGCCCCGTTCGTAACTGCGGATCCGACGTAAGTTAGATCCGCGTAACTCGGGGACTGCCTGTACCGCAGTCCCAGTCGAAACCCCCCCCCCACCCACAGCCCCTCTTGGAACAGGACTGCATGCCGGGACTGGAGCAGAGGCTATTTTAAGTAACGTGGTCCACCACGGCAGCCCCAGTTCCAGCTGCCTGCCATGCCACTCACCTTCCAGTAGGAAAGTGAGTGCTGCTGTGCATCTCTGCAAAGGAGATGGGCGGGCAGAGAATTTTCTGTGCATGGCCACACCAGGTGCACACCTAACTGGGAACTATGCCTCCAGCCCCCACAGTGCTCTGAGACTCTGATCCTGGAACATCTGTGGCCTGGTAGGATGTTGTCGGACCAGGGAGTCCCGGTTTATGGGTTTGAAAAATGTTAGTATTTCAGTAAAACATCAAAAGCAGGGTATTTCAATTAAAAATGGAGCCCTAGTGCAGGAATCCGAGGTTCCTGCACTCCTCTCCATTCAGAGCTCTCTCACTGGACTACACCTCACATGAGGAAGGCTAGGATTTATCCGTTATTTTTAGTAAAAATCATGGACTGGTCACAGACAATAAACAAAAATTCACAGAGCCTCGGAACCTGTCGGGGGAGGTAGCTAGGGGACTGCCAACTTGAGCCTCACCATGAGGCTGAAACCCAGAGTCACACAGATTTGTTTAAAGTCATGGAATCTGAGATTTCAGTGATGAAATTTATCTTTACACGTGATGTACTGCAGCCCATTATTTTTCCGCCACACCACCTCCCATTACCAGAACTGGAGAAGATGGTACCTGATGAAAGATGTAGTCTGACCAGCCAGCCTAGCCTATAGTGGAGATGGGGAGCATGAGACACTTGAACTACAGCTTCCATGAGGCATAGCGGTTCCTTGAATGCACTGCTTTCTCTCTTCTTAGTGATAGGAGGTGCATCACAGGTATCCCTGGCTACGGTGTCTCATGGGAAATAATGTCTGTCAGAGACAAACCCATAGAGGGGAATGGGAGTATAAGACCTCTGAATGACAAGTGCCGTGAGACACCACAGCACCATTTGATTTGAAATGTTTCAGCAAAATGCCAATTTTCTACAGAAATTTAAGGGAGGGCCAGAATTTGGTCATGTAAAAATATTCACT